GTAGAGAAGATGGCAAATGATTAAGAATATAGTAGGATTAACTGAGAAAAATTGTAGATGAAAACTAAACAGGAGAAATAATACCAACATATTTGCTTGGGAATTACAACTCGTGTGTAAAATATTAGTTATTAGTATTATAGTACTCTTGTGAAGAAAATTTACCTGTTAAGGGATAGGCAGAATAAAAGTAAGTACATTATTCACCATATTTTTATTTACTTTAAACAGTTAACCCAGATCAATATATACTTATACAATATGAATGTATGACATTTGGTATGTGTGCTGACAGCCTTTTCTTTATGCATAATATTCTCATATGTTTCAGTAGAATAATGTCATATGCATATATTTTTGGCCATGCTGGGGACTGAATCTAAGAGTCTCACCCATGCCAGGTGGCTCCTTTTTTAAAAAACTAAACACATGTCTAAAGTTTATCTGGATGGAAGCTTAGTGATACTGTTTCTTCTGAAGTCTTTCTCCCAGAATCACTCGTACATGTACATAAAGTACATAAAGGGTACTCAGTGGGCTGCTGTTTGTCATAGTAAAAAGCACATGCAGCACATCCATGCTGTGGGATACTGCACAGCCATGAAAAACAGTTATTTAGTTTCATATTAGGACCTACAGACCTTCTGTAATACAGATGCGTACAGCTGGGCGTGGTAGCGCCTGTCTGTATTCCTAGCACATAGGAGACTGAGGCAGGTGGGTTGCAGTGAGTTCAGATCAGACTGTGTTACAAAGTGAGTTTATAGCCAGCCTGAACTGCATGATGAGAACCTTTTTTGGTCTCAAAAAGACAAAGAAAAAAACAACAACAAAAGAAAGATCTGTACAAGATAAATAACACCCCAAAATAATGTTTCTAATATTTTACCGTTAGTGTTCTTTTTTATCATGAGGGGGAAAGAATATATATTCAGTTAATTGTCATGCACCCACACTGTAGAATAATATGTAACCATTAAAAACAATGTTCTAGGGCCGGCCAGATAGCTCAGGAGACTAAAACGCCGGCTTAGGCAGGTGCAGGGACCAGGGTTCGATCCCAGGCGTGCTGTGCCGGCCCCACCCTTGGGGCACACTGAGACTGGGCATAGTCGTGCATGCCTGTAATCCTAGCGCTTGGGAGGCTGAAAAGCAGGAGGATCACTTTGAGTCCGATCTGTGTAGTGACACCATAGAGACCCTGTACTAAATACATTTTTTCAAAAAACAATGTTCCGGGCTGGGTATATAGCTCGACACCCTAAGCACCTACCTGGCAAGCACAAGGATCTGGGTTTGATCTCCGGTACTGTATGCCATGTGTGCCCTGGATCCCAGGGTACACTGTACCAGCCACCAAGACAGCATGGTGGCATACCCCTATAATCCCAGCACTGGGGAGGTTGAGACAGGAGGATCACTACCAGTCCGGACTGTGTAGCAAATTCTGTACCAAATAAATAAGTGATTTTTTTTTAATTAAAAATTTTCTGACATAAAGATCTCTGAAACATTAATAATTTTTAAAATAATAAAATACATCATAGAGCATTTCTCAACTGATTCTACCTAAAAATTATTTAATTTTTATTTTTATAAGTGCATGCTAAAAGTTTGGGGTTTTTTGTTTTTTGGGGTTTTTTTTTTTGTGGCTGATTCAGGCTGCCTTAAGGGTATGTCTAAAAAGGCATGGAGAGCTGGGGATTGAACCACAGTCCCCTGTGCCTGACCGGGTTGTTCCAGCAGGTGCTTAAACAACTGAGCTAACCCACAAACCCGAAGTACATGTTAAAAAATATATATACTTATCTAACTACTAACAGTGATTGCTTTTATGGGACTGGCGAGATAGCTCATTGGAGTAAAGCACTTACTTAGGCAAGTTTAGGGACTACAGTTCAATCCCCAGCACTGAATGTTGGGCCAGCTCCACCCCCAGGGTGGGCTGAGCCAGCCACACACACAAAAAAAAATCTCTTATAGAGAAACTCTTAGAGGAGGAAGATTTAGAGCTAGGGAAGATAGCTCAGCGGCAGCAACGCCTTCCTGGCAAGCGCGAGATCCCATGTTTGACCCCTGGTACCACCAAAAGAAAAAGGGGGAGAGGTTTGGATTAGAGAGTGTTTGTACTGAGTATCTGTACTGTTTGTGTCCTTATGATGAAACTTCCTTTGTGTATTATTTCTGAGGTAAAGAGAGAAATATGTAATATGTTCTCACTGCAAAAAGAAAGAAGAAAAATAGTTTCTGAGCTCCTATACTGGACAGTCAACAAATGCTGGCCTCATGGAGCACAAGTGCCCTGTCTTGCCTCCCTATCAGCATCCATCTGTTCGATGTGCAGCCAGGGGACATGATGTATCCAGTAGGGACTACCACAGTCCTTGGATGAAGAATAAACCATGTCCCACTCTACCCAGAGTAAACAGTGACCCAGACTAAGGAGGTGACCCTAACGCAGGAAATGGCAGCCAGTAGGCTTAGCATGACCACCACCACAGCAGGAAAAGCACAACCTTCCTGTTACCCTTCAGCAGGACAGCACTGCTAATTCTCTAAGACCTGGCCCAGGTTATAAGAGACCACATGGTTTCCATTGCTTTTTCAGAAGTTCATATGTAAGGCAAAAATCTCTGAAAGAAATGAAAATGCATTGTCAGCATTTGAAATACAAAATGCCTGACCACTTAACATTAATGGGGGAAAAGAGCCAATTAACAGACAAAGAAGTTAAATCAAAGTTGAAAACAAGAAGTCTGAAGATAGCTGACCACCTGTAAGAGTTAAATAAAGAACTTACTGGAATCTAGAAGGTTTTTCTGACCATTAATTTGCAAGATGAAGCTCTCTGTAAACTCAGAGTAAAAGGCACAAGTGAGCAGTTTATGAAGATCTTGCAGGAAATTAACAGAGTTGTCCTACCAGAAAATTTTGGACAGTAGCCCAAAAAAAGAAAATGGTTAGTAAAGAAAGGTTAGGCATTCCTAGTTGGTGTGTCACCATGGAGAACATCTACCAAGAGACTCAGTGGCTGCTGCTCAAACTACACTTGCTGAGTGAAGAGCGCTAGAGAGATGCTGCCCTGAACAGCAGCACTGCTGCTCTGCCTCCTCGGATAGAACTTGGCTGTTTCTCCAGAGCTGCAGCTTGGTGGCACCTTGACAGATACCGACTTTCATGCTCCTGTACTGGCTTTCAGTGAAAAAATACTGTCTTTGCAACCTTTAAAAAAAAAAAAAGACAGTTTTTTAAAAAAACGCATTTAGCACAGGAGCTACAGGGTCTTAGTACACAGATCGGACTCATAGTGATCCTCCTCCTGTTATCAGCCTCCCAGGTACTGGGATTACAGGTGCGTGCCACCATGCCCAGTCTCATTCACCACCTCAGCGCACTCTGGGGGTGGGGCTGGCACGTCATGCTGGGGATTGAATCTGGTCCCTGCATCTGCCTAAGCAGACGCTTTAATCCACTGAGCTGTCAGGCCAACCCAAAGACAAAATTTAAAAAATAAAATACATCCATAGTAGCCTTTTAAAAATAATGTGTGTGGGCTGGCGAGATGGCTCAGTGGTCTAAAGCACCTACTTGGAACAAGCTTGGGAAAGCACAGGGACCACGGTTCGATCCCCCAGCACCACATGCCAGCCAGCCCCGCCCCCTGGTGGGCTGAGCTGCCCCCCCCCACAATAAATAAATAAATGTTTAAAAAAAATTAAAAATAAAAATAACGTGTGTGTGTGTGTGTGTGTGTGTGTGTGTGTGTCTTGCTCAGGCTGCCTTAAGGGCAGGTCTGGTAAGGTAGGTGGAGGTGGGGATTGAACTGCGCCTGACTGTTATTTGCATGAGCAGGTGCTTAAACAACTGAGCTAACTGACAGGCTCTCTTCCATAATAGCCTTAGCATCCCCCAGATCATCTATGAAAACTGAATTTTGATAAATACCTGCCCAGAGGCAAAGGGCATTTTATGGAGGCCATTTCATCCTAAACCAAGGAGATGAAAAGACCACCACATAAAATATTTGTATTTTACCTCATGAGGCAGTGAACATGGCTTTTTAGTAGAAAAAAATGCATGTAGCTCATTGTCTGGTTTTACTTTTCATTGTGTCCCCAGCACCTTTGTAGCACATAACTGCCATCAATATGTGTTTAAGAAATAAGTAGTAGTGATCTGCTAATCTGCTAGCCTTAGGTGAAGTTCTTCTAGTTCTAAACCCCAAAGTTTGGGCTGGCAAGATAGCTCAGAGGACTAAAGTACCTGCTTAGGTAAGTACAGGGACTGGAGTTTAATCCCAGACACCACATGCCACACCAGCCCCACCCTCAGGCATATTGAGCCAGCCACCAAGACTGAGTGTGCTAGTGCACATTTGTATTACCAATGCTGGGGAGGCTGAAAATAGGATTGTTACGAGCTGGAGCTGCGTGGTGAGACCCTGTACCAAATACATTTTATTTTTATTTATTTAATTTTTTTTACATTTTATTTTTTTAGAAAAGGTTTTTGCTGATTGACAACCTGAATAACATTAGGTGTATACACTTTAATATTGCTTCCTGTATGTAGCTTGGATTTAATAACCATTGTCTTTTCAGATCCTTATAAGGAAACTTTCATAAGAATGTAAAATACAAGATGACCTAGGAAACTTTATTTAAGAAATAATGACCTATATTTTTCATCTGACCTTTTTGTTCTGCAGGTGGTATCTCATATATAGAATACTTCTCTGTAGTTAACAGTGAAATGATTCAGATGCCTGTGATGAAATTGAATGTAAAACCTATAGAGTGACCTTTCTGTTCTTGTGCCTCAGAGGTTAAATTGAAACTGCTTGATTTTGGGAAATTATATATGCATATATGTGTATATAAATATATACATACATAAGGAATCATTTTAACTCTGTAGATAATTATCCTGGAGCTTAAGAAGAAGCTTCTGAATTTTTTAAGTAAATATTAATCTGTACTATTTGTATTTTTTCCCCTTAGTTTCTGCCACTGCCTTCTACAAAGCACAACCTGTCATTCAGTTTATGTGTGAAGTTCTTGACATTCATAATATTGATGAGCAACCAAGACCTCTGACTGATTCTCATCGGGTAAAATTCACCAAAGAGATAAAAGGTGAGCTCATTAACATTTAGAGCAGCTTAATTTTAACATGCGTGGGTATAATAACTTGATGTTTTAAAATTAAAATCTAACATTGGTAGAAATATAGATTAATTATGAGGTGTTACCTTAAGTTCAATTTAGGTAATATTTGAATAAAAGATGTGCCAGGGAATGGAATTAGCATCGAAAAGTAGCTGAATTTTTCTTTATACTCTAGTTGAAGGGACAAGAGTGTCTGATGGGATAATGCCTACTGTTAAAAGTAAAAAAAATTATTTTAAAAAATACTGTTACCGGGCCGGGGAGTTAGCTCAGTAGAATAAACGCTTCCCTGGCAAGCACAAGGGCCTGAGTTCAATCCCCGGTTCCGCAAAAAATAAAAAATAAAAAAATAAAAAAAAATACTGTTACCTTAGGAGTAGAATCAGTCTTTCAACATATTATATATAAGGACTTTTTTCTTTTTCTGAAATGGCATTTTAAAATTTTATTTTTTAAAAAATGTATCATATGGGGCTAACCTATTTCCTGTGTTGTTCTAGAGTTGTAATTTAGCAATTCCACAAACATAAAGCTGGCTATTGATTTTGCCCATTTTACTTAGTAGTGAAAATTTCTACAGCTTATCACATTATATATACACTCTGTGGTCTCCCAAGGGAGGAAAAAAAAACTAATTTTAATAGTATTCTTTTTTTTTTTTTTTTTTTTTTTTTTTTGGTGGTACTGGGGATTGACTCAAGGCCCTATACTTGCCAGGCAGGTGCTTATTGTACTGAGCTATCTCCCCAGCCCCAGTATTCTAAAATTTATATTTTATGTGTATTATGTATCTCCATTTCTAAATACATTTAAATATACAATACATATATAGTTTTTTGTCCAAACACACATATGGTATATTTACAGTTTAAGGATTTTTAAAAGATTTGATTATGTACTGTTTTGACTGTATACAATTCTTGCCTTGTTGATGATTTTAGAACTTAATTCTGATTTAAGATATGTCTCTACTGTATTTCGTTTTATTTTGTAGACATGCAAAGAAATTAGATATTCTCTAATCAGTATGAGTGTCATATACTGTTAACTTTTAAATAGAAATAATTACGCTATTTTAAGATTTACCTATTTGTTGCAGATATCTTTCAGCTTGTTGTTTGAAGTATTCAAGTTTGTTCACCGACCATTCCTCAGCCCCCAGCTCAGTTAGAGTAGCTGAGTACATCCTGCTCGCTCCAGTAATCATTCATTTTTGCCATACTGTGATAGCCAGAAAAGAACCAGTCATACTAGTAAAACATTGAAAGGGAAATCTTTCCTGCCTTAAAAATAAGCATTTATTTCAAGTTATTTAAGTGCCCAAATAAGAAACTGTTAAATGTAACTGTTTTGCAGTCATATTATTGTCCTTACATAACCTGTATTAACTGCACTTAGCACTATCAGGAGATTAGTACATCACGTACTGTTATATGTGTGGTCATCTAAATGCTATGGTTTCCATTGGAGTTGCTGCTTAGTTACCACCTCTGATATCATGAAATCACTTACATTATTTTTTGGTAACTATGCAATCAACTCATATCACCACTCTATCACAGAAAATACAAGATGTAAAGAACAAGAATTCAACTGCTGCCCGGAGAGCATGGACTCGGTCTTAACTTCAACTGCTCAGGGGCCCAAAGAAATGACTGAAAAAATGACTAGAAAGCATTATAAAGTTCATGTTATAGTGAAGGTAAAGCCAAGTTTATAGGATAAATATTTATTAAAGGCAAAAATTTGGTTGGATGGAGGGCTTGGGGTGGGGCATTGGGGCAGAGAACTATCTAGTCCATTTTTAAAATTTTTAACTTTTTTTGTTAGCTTCCTAGATTTTGGAGTCTAATTTTGTGATCTTAGATTCTAGGTAGGAAAATCTGAGTTGAGTCTAATTGATAAATCAGTAATTTTTATTTCTCCATTCAAAGTCAAGACTTAAAGAGGGCTCCTTAAAAAGTGTAGCATGTACTCCTATCACGGTAATTCAAGAGAATCAGAGTTTTGTATTCTGTGCTATTTGGGTTTAGCATTTCAGCTAGTACAAGGAAGTTGGTAACTGCTAAATATTGGCATAAACTGCTATAATGAGTGTATTTTTAGTATATTCATTTTACTCCAGTTGAATCTTTTCCCAAGTATTTGGTAATAACTTTGGGTTAGTTTTTGTATCCAAAATTTATGGTAATTAAGCAGCAGAAATATTGGGGGAAATGTATGGCAAAAGTACCATATGTATATAAAAATACCAACTTTTGACAAAAGCTTATTTTGTAGGTATATAGAACCATGTGTTTTTTAACAGAGGAACAGCCTAAAAAATTCTACAAGTAACAGAAATTTGCTGTAAACGTTTCTGTTATGTTACCCATAAAAAATTTTTTACGTGTTGCTTTACTTCATGTTTTTAGTACAGTATTTCCTTATAAAGGTGTCCTTTGTATTGTCTGGTCTCCTTTATAATACAAAGGTGTAGTAAATTCTATAACTGATCTGAAATTGTAGTTTTATACAGGTAAAAACTAGTTCTCACTATTTTTATTAGGAGTACTTTTCAAGAAAATTCCATACCAATCTGAAATGGGAATATCCATTTAGCATCTTAATTTGTGCTATCAGAAGAAAATGTCATTTTACTGTGAATGAACTTTATGTTTAGCACTACTGTTAGTTATTAGATAAAATATGCTATAGGAGAGCTTCTCATCCTTGACACTGTTGACATTATGGCCTAGATAATTCTTTGTTGGGATAGAGGTAGTGCTGCTCTGTGTATTCTGGGTATTTAGGAATATCTTGGCCCACTGGTTGCCAGTAGGCATCTCCCAGGTTATAACAATGTCTCCTCAAGTTTTGGGGATGTCGTTCAGTGGTAGAGTCCTATTTTAGTGTATCCAGCCCTGAGTTCAATCCCCAACAGAGTGGAAAAGAATTTTTCTCCATGGGCATGGTGGTGCACACCTGTAATCCCAGCACTCGGGAGGCTGAAGCAGGAGGAGGATCGATGTGAGTTTGAGACCAACCTGGGCTCCATAGTGAGCTCAAGACCAGCCTGAACTGCATAGCGAGACCCTGTCTCAAAAAGAGAAAAAATATTTTTTTTCTCCAAACACCTGTCCTCTGGGGAGCAAAATTTCCCCAAGTTGAGAACTATTTCATTATAGGAATCACAGATATAAAGAGTAATAATCATAAGTTTTGTCTAGATCCTAAAAATAATCCTCCATATACAGCATTATAGTCCAAGCCAAGTTTTATAAATAAGTTGCTTATCTGTGACCAGTAGTCACCCTCTGTCTTTTTTAACTCTTCTCAAGGTAGATCCAAGACTGACCAATAGAGTAGCCAAGTATAGGTGTTTAAATTAAGTGAAACTAAAATTTCAGTTTCTCAGACACATTAACCACATTTTACGTGCTCAGTAAAACATCTTACTAATGATTATCATATTAGCTCAAATGTAGAACCTTCTGTCATCTCAGAAAGTTATGTTTTCTACCCCCCTCCCCCCAAAAAAAAGAAAAGTCCACAGATTTTTGCTGGGAAGATAGCTCAGTAGAATAAGTACCTGCCTGGCAAGCGCAGGATCCTGAGTTCAATCCCCAGTACCACCAAAAAATAAAGCCCACAGAAAGTTCTGTTTAATAGTACTACTTAAGAAAATTCATCCCCACCCCCAAATTCAGCAGATTTAAAACCCATTCCTTTACTAGAGAGTAAAGATAGTTTGAGATCCTAGAACCCCTTAAGGGCCATATAGATTACAATGATAATAAAAGCATATATATGCATAGTTTTCTGAGTTTATTGCTCTCACCAGATACTCATGGGGTTAAAGGGAATTATTTCAGTTACTTTGGATTTCTAATAATCCACACTGTAAAAGATCTGTATCACTATATTACACTTCAGTAAAACTATTGTTCTGCTTAAGTTAAGAGTCTGACATTTTGTACTTCCTGCTTTATAAATCTTTGAAGGATTTCGTTTTTATGAAATTCTTAATTTTTTCAATTAGTATATGATAACTAGGCTCTTTCAGTATCACATACTTTAAAGGCTATAAAATAGAGAATTACTGCAACTACCTTCATTCTTTTTTCCCTGTCCTAGCATAAGTACCTGAATTTATTCTAACAGAGTTTTTATTAATGGAGAACTGTGTGTCTTGCTCTTTACGAATTTTATGTTTCCTTTTTATTATTTGGAGCTTGATAGAATAAAGAAAAGGTTTTACATTAGGTCTACCATAATTATAACCATTATCAGCAGTGTCATACATGGAATTTGTTAATTGCTCATATCACAGATCTTCTGTTTGATCAGAATTGAGTTTTTAAAGTAGTTAACAGGCTTTATAAATGTAGATATTTTAGATATGATACTTCTGTAACCTCCATTTTCTTGTTGGGCACAGGTCTAAAAGTTGAAGTGACTCATTGTGGAACAATGAGACGGAAATACCGTGTTTGTAATGTAACGAGAAGGCCTGCCAGTCATCAAACGTAAGGAAAGCTGGTGTTTGCCAGAGCAGTGGTGAAGTGAGGTGCCATGCTCTGGATAGAGTGGGTTGGGAGTTACGCTGGCTCATAGCGGGAGAAGGGTTGTTTATGTCTACTTTTTTTCTTTCCAGCTTTCCTTTACAGTTAGAAAATGGCCAGACTGTTGAGAGAACAGTAGCACAGTACTTCAGAGAAAAGTATACTCTCCAGCTGAAATACCCACACCTTCCCTGTCTGCAAGTGGGGCAGGAACAGAAGCATACCTACCTGCCACTAGAAGTAATGTCTTTATGCTACTTAGGGATATTTTCCTATTCCTCAAGCTTTGGGGGGTCTTTTATGTTCTGTAACTTACACTTACTTTGGTATTTGAAATGTTTTTACATTTTAATTTATTCTACATTTTATTTTTCTACATTTTATTTTTATTTTTTAAATAATTTTATTGAAAAACAAATAGCAATGAGACAGCTTCAACACTGATTACTAGGTTATTCTACATTTTAATTAAAAGAAATAAGATGGAAAATATTTGTCTATAATCCTACCACTATACCACTATATGTATTTACCATATACCACTATAGCAGTATACCACTATACCACTATTATATTTACCATGATCATTATTAGTGTATTTTGTTTTGTTTTGGGTGTTTTTTGTTTTTAGGGAAGGGTCTACAGGGTGTTCAGGTCTCATTACTAAGTCAGACTCATAGTGTTTACAACCTCCCAAGAGCTGGGATTATAGGCACAGGCCACCACACCCAGTCTCAATTGCCTTCTCAGCGTGTTTTAGCGTGCCCTGGGGGTAGGCCCGGGGGATTGAACCGCCAGCCCCTGTGCCTGCTTGCAGACACTTTAATCCACTGTGCTATTTGGCTGGCCCTATTATTAGCATTTTTATTTCTAAGCCTTTTTATCCTGTGTGTATTTAGCCTAGTTGTACTCTAAAACTAGTTTTGTTCATTACTTTTTAGTTAAAATGAAGCTGCTTAATGAAGTAGGTTTTACATTTTTTGAGGACTAATATATACATTTTTTTCTTTTTCTATCTTTAGGTCTGTAATATTGTGGCAGGGCAACGATGCATCAAAAAGCTAACAGACAATCAGACTTCTACTATGATCAAGGCAACAGCAAGATCTGCACCAGATAGACAAGAGGAAATTAGCAGATTGGTTAGTATATAACCCTCAAAATGGGAATTTAATACATAGTAGGACACAAGCACAGTGGCTTATGCCTGTAATCACAGCTACTCAGGAGGCTGAGACAGGAGAATCAAAAGTTTGAGGCTAGGCACTGGGTCAGAGATGGCTCAGGCTGCTTCTTGATGCCATCTTCTGTAGGCTGGTTGCAGCCACGAACCCAGCTAGCAAGAAAAAACAAACAAAAAAAAAACCAACATCAATGTCTTGTTCAGACCAAGGATAGTGCCATGTGCTTTCTTTCACAAGGAGA